GATCTTAAATCAATAAAATAGCGTGCATTCGTTTGTTTATTTATATAATGGTTAAGATCATGAGTCATTTGAAGCTAGAGCACCCTGGAAAACCTGGAAGTACTGGACGGCCGTTTCGTCCTATTGTGGGCTTCATGAGGTATATCCTGGAGTTCTAGTGAGAAGCAGTGACCAGTGGAGTTCAACCAGGCCTATTGTGAGATAGTAGCTTACTGAAGACAATGAAGAATGTGTCGCTCAATTTCGTGGATTAGTTCAAGTTAGACATTAACACTGTTGTATGGCGGCCGGCTCAGCGGTCTAGTGGTTAAGTGCTCGCGCGCGAAACCAGTAGGTCATGGGTTCAAATCTCGCGGGGGGCGAGGTCGTAGATGCGCACTGCTGAGGAGTCCCACAATAGGACGAAACGGCAGTCCAGTGCTTCCAGGTTTTCCATGGTGGTCTAGCTTCAACTGACTCATGATCTTAACCATTGAAATTACTACAATCTCCACAAAACCCATCTGATATTTATATAATAAACTGTTTGATTCAGAGATAAACATATTTGAAATATGGCGCTATAAAGATTCTTCAACTCATTTAACGTCAAACTCAGTATGTCAAAATTCCTTAAAGTAACATGTAACCCTAGTAATTTATTTATCTCAATATATTCTATTATCATTTAGGACAAAACAAACTTCTAGTTTATTTGGGTCTATTAATGTATGCAACTATTATTATTATTATAAATCCGAATGTTGGAAAATCTGGTACTTAGTTACGCAGGAACAGATAACGATAACAATATGTGTGACATCTCAAGCTTATGACGTATATGTTACATTCAAATCATTCCCGATGATGAAATTGTAACGCTTCTGTTTTCTAACATTCTATATGAATGCATTTCTCAGTATTTTCGGTGAATTTTCTTTTTATTTAGTTTGTGAATATTATATATAATAGCATATTTATTACTGAGAATTTTTTAATGCCTTAACTTTCATCCTGTCTACTTTTTTCATCCTCCTTTACAGTGGAGTGTTCACCAAAGACACATGTAGATATCTTTACATGATTAAAATGAAATCCATGATAAGAGTTATTCTCTTACATCCAGCACTTACTAAATGAACTACAAAAAATGCTCGAAATCGTTGGATATTTTGCTTTTATTGGACACTGAAAAAGGGATAGTTAACCTCATATTTCTTAATGTAGATAAAAACCTTAAGAATTATACCTTATTGAGTTACACAGTATGAGAGTTCGGTCTATCAGTTTTATGAATGAATAATATCACTCTGTAATTATATGTATCACAAAATATATTGACAATAATAATAACGTTTCAGTCGTTTATATTTCTAAATAACACTTTTTCTGATGGAGTCTATCTGAAGATTGTGCTGATGATCTCGTTCAGATGAACAATGAAAGCTCCACGACCAAACCATTTAGCTCAGAGAACAAAACTCCATCAAAATCATCCACTTGAACTACAAATCTTCTTCACCATCTCTAAATAACACTGTTAGCTGGTTTTTGTATTGTTTCATTTCTCTTAGGACCAAACAAAAAAAAACAAATTGTACGAAAATGAAAACAACAAACTGTATATTCGTTTTGATTTTCTCAATAGATTTTTTAATCCTTTCTAACTACCCCTCTACACATACACATACATACACATGCACACAAACACACTTTCTAACCTTAAAATAACAAGAAATCACGTTTAAAGTACATATAGATTGTATACTCAATGAATATACAAAATGGTTTATTTTTCGAAAGGATATATATATATATATATTATTGAAATGAAAACAAATGAGGGAAAAAAGTAAGTCAGAAGAGGAAGTCAATACCTCCTTACAAACTTGAATATCCAAGTCCAATTATTTTAGGAAACGGTATACATTTAATAAAAAAACGTTGTAATTTTGAATAATTTGAAAATGAGTTGGTTTACAGTATACAATACGCATATCATGAATAGCAAATCACTTTTGAATAAATAGATTTATAGTGAAGGTCAACATTCATTGATGAGTTATGTGTCAATCTAAATTCTTTTAATGATGATTTAAGTTGATCGTTGAGTATGATTATAGTACCTGACCAGTACATTACAAGTAGACTTATAGAATTAAAATGTTTTGTGGATTTTAGTGGCTTGACATCTGACTTCAAATAGATCACTTGCTGCTTGTTATTGAATTATTCATGTCGGCTATCCTCATATCTGATCATCGACTTAAGTAGCGTCGGTAAATAATAGGATTAAATAAGCCAAATACGAGAATGGATTTTTGAAGACATATTTCGTACAGTCGTTTAGCGGAAAGCGAAGCAAAATGAAATAACACACATTGCAGAAGGCATGTTAGCCAAATCGACTTAATCAAGCATGAATCGATATTTTTAGTCGAACAAAAATAAGTTGCAGACATGTAATGAGTAGGATAAAAAATTCACACACATGCGATCATATAAAAACAGTCAAGTTTAATAAGCGAATAATTGACAAGGTCAAAATGTGACTCAAGAAGAATGAATAAATTGCCTTGTCCGGAATCTAGAATAAGCTTTGTCGGTTTAACATAGAAACCAACACTACATGATGGAATAATGTAAAATTTCAAACTGGGATAAAGTTGGTTTTTTTAGTTATTTGTTTTATCATACAGCTTTAAATATAATAAATAACTGAGTCCAGTATTGAATACTGTAAAACACTAAAACCCAAATTGTTTGACTTCATACTTGAACAAAAGATTATAAGTTATTTGTATCAGTGTTTATTTGATTTGTTTACCTCAGTTCAGTTATAAGTTCAGTCAGACTCGCTCGCATGCATTTAATGCTGACCAGTTAACTGTCATAGTCAACGCACTGTGATCGAGCTACTTAGATTAAGTTTTCATTCTTAGTGTGGTGTTTATATTAGTTGCTAAATGTTTTATATTATTGTTGTTCGTTTCTCTCATATTCGATCGAATCCACAAACTTGTGTTCAGGATTTTTTCTTCTGGTTCATTAGTAACCGCTATTAGAAATAACAATAACAGTAAATTGATAAACTGGAAAGTGTTTCGAAACATCGAAGTGTATGTATGATGAGAAACGTCAAATATATAGGTGTGATGTCAAAATATTCAAATTAGTTTTTAATCAGAATAAAGCTACGTATGATGCAGACAGAGTAAACAAGGATAAGATCCAAATTAATTGTTAATAAGCATTTGCCAAATGGTGGCTAGCTGTATTCAATCCTTCTGTTCAGGCTGTTTTGATTAGTTTAGTACTTTTGCTGTCAATCTTTATGCGTGCTAAACCCTTTTTGAAGTATTTTGGTCCTTTCAAAGTTATTCTTGTATTCTGTTTTTAACGAATGTAGCATAATCAATGATCTATTCTCAAATTTCTTAAGATCAACTGAGGATTTGGAAACAATATTCAATGACTGTCTGTCTGGAAGTTTCCCCGACATAAACATTGTATTCATAATAATTGATCTCATAAACAATGTCCTATTTCTCTTCTTCTAGTATTCTGTCCTAAACTGTAACTAACGTCAATCATGTGATATTGCTATTCTGGAGATAAACCCTTATAATATGTTTGATTAAAATTCTATTAATTTACATCACTGTTTTTGGACGATATGGGATGACAACGATGTTCTTTCATTCTCTCATTATATATTCTAATTTAGTTTTTCTTGCATTTATAACAATCCTTGAAAATTCTTTAGGATTGTTAATTCCGTCATTCGGTTGTAATGAGATTACAGCTGATTTTGATTAAATTTTTATGACTATAAGCTTTTGTGTTGATTCTAGAATTTTAATGGTTGAATTCATGAGTCGACCTAAGCTATATAGATAAATAAACATTGGTAGAAAAAAGATGAGAACTTATTAATAAGTGGAATATACTCATTGAGACACAAGATAAGAAAAAGGGTTCTAACTTTATGAAATCATATAAAATTTTGAGGTTACAATCTAATCATGAATGTGCACAGCTGAAGAGTCCTGTACCAGGAACAAATGGCCTTGAAGTGTTTCCAGGTTTTCAGTGATGATTTAACATCGATCGATTCATGATTTCAATGAAATATAATTTAATAGTTGGCTTACTGCTTGAAAGGTTTTCATATCATGGAGATTTTAAATACATGGTTGTATAATTAATAAATATTTTCACTGGTTGAAATCATGAGTCAATTGAAGCTAGACCACCATGGAAAACCTGAATGCACTGGACGACCGTTTCGTCCTAGTATGAGACTCCTTAGCAGTGCTCATCCACGATCCCGCCCCCCACGAGATTCGAATCCAGTGGAGTTCAACCAGGTCTGTCGTGAGATATCAACTCACTGAAGACTATGGTGTACGGTGGTGCAACTTCGTGGATTGGTTGACGTTAGACATTAACACTATCGGATGCCGGCTCAGTGGTCTAGTTAGTTAAGCGCCCGGCGCGAGACTGATAGGTTCTGGGTTCTACTCTCGCGGGGTGCGGGATCGTGGGTGCGCCCTGCTGAGGAGTCCCATACTAGAACGAAACGGTCGTCCAGTGCATTCAGGTTTTCAATGGTGTTCTAGCTTCAATTGACTAAGGATTTCAACCAGTGAGATTTCTAAAACCTCCACAAAACGCATTCTGATAATAAATATTTTAATGAAATAATTCTATAATTTCAGAATAAATCGAAGTTTAATTTGTTATTTTCAAAATCATCTAACGATGCAGTCAATTTTGAATTATTTGGTTAAGTGTTTGTTCCTTTGAGTGTTCTAGTTTCCAGATAACTAAATGATAATGTACGTGAAACCTTAAAAGTAAATCTGATCCAACATTTGACCAAACTTATTGATCATTTATGCATCTAATGTTGATGTTTTATTTCTCTTTGTTTTATAATTTCAAATGATTCATAACAATCTTTCTCATAGAATTTCATAACTTATATATAAATGTTTCTTTGGAAAACATATATTTAGATAAAATTCAAATTGAAAGACAAGTACAAGTTGTCGGTCACAATTTTCAAGTACACAGTTATCGATCACCACATTTTTGTGATTATTGTGGGGAAGTATTATTTGGTTTGGTACGTCAAGGTCTACGCTGTTCGGGTAAGTGTTTATACTTTAACTATATATAAAAATAAAATACTTAACTCCCTTTGTTCTATATATATATATATATATATATATATATATATATATATATATATATATATATATATATATATATATATATATATATATATATATATATATATATATATATAAAGAGAGAGAGGTAGATCAAAGTTACAGTTATTAGTTTTATGAAGAATTAAAATGGCTAATAGTTTTACTACTGTATAAATGAACTTTATAAATGCAAATAATTTAAGTTGCCATGGTTCGGTAGACTTCATACAACGTTTGTTAGGTCAAAAATACACTTTAAAATCCCGTTTTACTTGATCCTATTATTAATTTGTTTGAAACATTTGGTAACATTTATTAAGTTGAGATTTCGAATTAGTTTATTTGGATATAGATATCAGATTGTTGTATATACTGAAGTAACTAACTTCTAATAAAATTGGCAACCATCTATTAGTACATTCTGCTTTGAAGGTCATTACTTTAATATTATTATTATTACTATTATTAGTGGTTTTATTCAATATTATATACAATATAGAATTCTCAGCACAAAGTATTTCAACAAGTTTCCGATTCTTATTTCTTGATCGATCCTCACGATAGATATTTAATGGTTGCCAATTAGATGTTAGCAATTCAGGAATCGACATCTAAATAGCGTATATTCTTTTCGCTGTATATTGACAGCAACCAGGATGTCTCTGATTGTACTTTTTTGTTAATCGTACAATGAAAGGTCATAAAAGTACGTGAATAGATTGCCTGGTTAATAAGCATAATGATGTGTTAAGACAAACAAAATCCGATAACTTGTCGAAATATCTAGATGGCAGAAACAAGTAGCCCAGATACTCAAGCGGGCAGTTACCAATTTAAGATACCCGCTAATTTCTGTAATGAATTTGAGCTTATGTTCAGTAGCTTGTATTTTTCCATTCTTGATTCTAAGAAAAAAAGTTTCAACATGGCAATATTTAGGCAAAGTCTTCATGACAGACATCCACCGATGGGGACTGATCCATCTCAGTCTTTAGTATTAAATAATAGCTATTGTAAATTATCTAGATTATCTTGAGAATTATATTTTATCTTCACTGAAGTATTTTATAATCAACCTATCTGATTCAACTTTAACAATAACTGGATATTAAGTGTTCTTATTTTAATCTTATCATTATAATGGTATATTGATATTATTAAATGGCTGTTCCAAAAAAAACTTCTCTTCAACATACAAATATCAGAGGGGGTTTTTTGGAGATTTTAGAAATGTCACTGATTGAAATCATGAGTCAATTGAAACTAGACCATCATGGAAAACCTGGAAGCACTGCTGAGTAGTCCCATACTAGGACGAAACGGCCGTCCAGTACTTCCAGGTTTTCCATGGTGGTCTAGCTTCAATTGACTCATGATTTCAATCAGTGAAATATATTAATGTAGGAAATAATCGATTCAAGTAAATTTCAGTGATATTTCTCAATTTTTTTTGTCTTTCCTATATTCCTAACTTCTTTACAACATTATTAGAACTAGATAAATTATAGTAAAAAAAAGGGGGATTAATTTGCGTGTTTCAATACTTAAAATACCATACTTTAACTTATATGATGTTGCTAACAAATATGCAAAAAGAATGTTTTATATTATATAAATAAATTCCTTGTTGTATTTTACAATTAAACTCAATTTTACTTTATGTAAAGAATAAAATAGTGAAGGTTTTTAATTTCAAATTTAGCAAAGATTTTCATAACCAATGACATGCAATTTGTGATTATTATTATTATTATTGCTGTTTTTGTTTCAGAGAAATATTAATCTTATGTTCACTTGGCATTGTTTACTTCAATCTTTCCATTGATGATCAAGAGTACAATTGATCAATCTCTTATAGCTTATAATGTTTGTGAATTAAGGCAATATCGAGGTAATGCTCACAGTATACATATATGTCAATAAGAAACAGATCGATTATAGTCATAAATAGCAATGGGAAGATTCAAGTAAACAATATCAAGTGAATTAAAAACTTCACCCCATTGCACAAGCAGGTGGATATTAGGACTCAGTAGATGAGTGGATAATGCGATAGTGTTTGAAGTGAACGGTACTGAGTTCGAGTCCCAGAGTGAACATCAACTGTGAGATCCAGCTGACGAGTCCGACATAGGACGAAACGTGCATCCTGGATTCCACTGTTAGCCACTATTCATCTTTGCTTATTAATCTTATGTGTTTCAGTCCATATTCCTCAATTTTGTTTATTACTATTGCTGTTGTTGGAAAAAATACTGAACAAAATTAGGTGTTGAATAGAATTATTAGTCGATGATATCAACTGTGAAATTCAACATTCTCTACAATCCTTCTCCAGTGTTAATATGCGTACTAGTAAGAAAGAAGGTAAATTTCCATAAACTATTTTAGTGGAAGTCACAACATGAAAATTAGGATAGAAATACGAAGATGGTTATTTATCACAAATTCACAACAGCCAGAAAATCTTTGAAATTCAGAAATCATAGAATAGTTTTGTCCTAATATAAGGTTCATTAGTAGAGCATATCGAAACTCTGGAAAGAATTGAATTCAAAAACCTTAGATACTACAGTTAGCCCCTTAATTTAAGATCATTGGTTTGGAATCGAGTGATTTGTACTAATAACATTATTCGATTTCCGATACACTGTAATAATCATGCTAGTGGCTAATCGCTCTACACTTGGTCTAGCTAAAAACTATTTGTGAATTGTGATCAGATTCGTGGGAATCCGCGTCAAAGTTAATTACAAGAGAACACATTATTACTGTTTATTTGATAACAATTCTAGAGGTCAATCTAATTTAAAGGTAGCTTTTTGTTAGGGATTAGTGTTGGAGGGTTAGACCTTGATTCCAAAATGTGAATAATTAAATTCTATCTCGTTGATTTAATGGTAAGAAATGGGCCACAAGATCTAACATTCCTTGTTCCTTTCTCAAACAAAGTTGGCGTATATAGTCTCTTCTCGTACTAGGACTTGCTATATGGTTTAACCTATGATAACGAACAGTCTTCAAGTCAAATTAACCCTAATAAAAAACGTAGAAAGCATGTTAGACTCCATCCATGATTATCCATTTAAGAAACTAATGTACAGTATTTTTAATTAATGATTTTTGAATTTAATGAATTAGTGAACATAATGTACCAAGCTAATTTCAAAATCTTTATTAAAATGTCCGTAACTGTGTCATGTTAATCAGAAATTCTTAATTGTTTTAAGTTATTTGAAAAGGAATTCTATCAACTATCATCCATAGGGTGAGTCCGCTAATAAAACATTTAATCAAAGTAAATGATTCTAGGTAGAATTGACAAAAGGAAAAATAAGTCTGATTGTTATTTGTAAATAATCTTAATGTACAAGTAAATGAGCAGTATCAGATCTTTTGTACATAATACAATTTCATTGTTTGTGTTATATGTTTTGTGAAGATTGTATTTAGCAGTTTTTATCATTAAATAATAACAATTAGGAAGTCAGTAAGAATCGAATAGCGTTAAACAAATTGTATTGGTCGATATTCGATGTACTACTTAAAGTTCTTAAACAGTTCGTCCTGATAATCGTTACTTAATAATGTCCCCAATGGTGTACAAATCAGAAGACAAGTACAATGTGTTGATCGCGTTTATTAATGCACGACGCATAGTTCACCAATATCACAGACATGCTAAAGAATAATTGAAGGGCTAATGCCGAAAAGCGAGTTTGCGAGTCAAAATGAATAGGATTAAAATGTACGTATATATACATAGGGAGATGAATGAATCATCGAATCAATTAAGCGACAAACATTAAAGCTAACAGAATAAATATGTGCGTAGGCGGTAAGCAATGCTCAGGTATACATATTCATACAAGCGCAACAATAATAAAGGCACAATGGCATAGATAAGTTGTTGTTGTACGAATAACTCTGTTTGTTAAATGACTTAAAAAAGGGCTTAATCGAATTAAATGTGAACAAACTCAGTTGCACATGAGCTGCTATAAAACGTTTAATATTAATTTCAGAAGTACTAACAGTCTGCAACCGTAGACTGGTGGGCGATTTGACTCCGAGAACTTAGATTTCATGGTACTATTAAGAAATTGAACTAAGATGTAATTATTCACATTTTCTTATTTCAAACATTTCAAATATGGTACTTGTTTGTGTCTAGCATTAAGATTAATTTCCCGACATTCAATTGTAATTCCACAAGCTCTGGGATTGATTCTGTCTAGAGTGAGACAGATACTATATTATATAATCAATAAAGTTGGAAAATGGAATATCATATGATTTCAACTCATCATTTCAGCATAGTCAGTCTTTAATTCAAGATCTGAATGTACTGAATTCATTTTAATCATGCATTAATGAGCAAACAAACAAACAAACAAAAAAACTGAGGATTTCTAAAAATGGAAATAAACAGTTAATGATTGCCTCACTAAGATTGGTTAATGATCATACTCTCCTTCAAATTACACTAAAGCATAGAGATTTGTAGATATGGATACAATTTGTCTTAGCTATTCATATATTTTTATGTAAAAAAAGTCTTTTCTTGCGTAACAAGATAAAAGAATATAAATATTAAACGATAAAAGGGGAAGGATAATTTAACACTTTGTCGTTGCATTTTGTACTTCATTGTGAAAAAACCATCATGATCATTAGAAATTATTCTTTGTTTACTTTTAAGAAAAAGAAAATACAACAACTTATTGTTGCGTATAGTCATTAGTATAGTTGTTGAATAAGTAGACATAATGTCTGCTTATATATAGTTGTATATATTATAAGCTCTTCTTTTCATATCTATATCTTTACATGTAATTCATTGTACATAAGTAGCAATAAGTAGTAATTAGATTTATATCATAAGTTTTTAGAAAAAATATATCAATCATTATGATATATAAAAATTTCTTCTTACT